GGTAAAAGTATGTTTTCTATATAAGTTAAGTTCCATTTCGTTCGGGGGGGGGGGGGGGGGTAGATTTTCTGGAATAAAAATGCCTGGAAGAAATTCTGTTCTTAACACACCACCCTGTTGGTAACATTGCTCGGCTAGCTTGTACTGCTAATTGAAGAGTACACAGCTATGATGTCATAGGACTGAACTATATATAGACCAGAACTGTCCTAGTATAGGGTTAGAGCGCCCAAACAAGGCGTCTCACCACAGTCCAAATACAGGACGGATAATTTCATGGTCGGTACAGAAAACAAGGGACGTGACTCGATACGGACGTTCAAGAGGACGGCCCAAAATGTAGGCTAATCACAGAGTTATGTCAGCGGCACCACGAATTTGTTCCACACATCAAGGGGGAGAATTCACTCACTAAGGGAGATAATTCAAACACCAGGCATGAAAAAAAGAAGGAGATAATTCAGAAAAAAGGAGAGGAACGTTAGGGAAAGTATTAAAAAGGAGAAATAATTCACGAAGTAAATTTTTTTTTCGCCACACCTGAAGTATAGTACATTAGCGAGATAATTCACAAAGGGAGCAAATTCACAAGAGAGGGAGATAATTTGCAAGCAAAATTTTTAAAAGGAGATACATCACGTGTAACGTTAAAATGCGTACAATGCGCCGATTATAATCAATACGTCACACACCAAGGGCGATAAACCCCAATTCTTGAACAATGGGAGATAATCTACCAGAAAGATAAGAGGCGAGATAATCCACTTCTTATGTATAGAGAGATATTATGTAATTTAAAATAAACCGGGAGTGATCTCCCCTAAACTTTCTCGAATATTCTTATATAAAATAATAGGGGATGGGAACTCGGGCTATAGACATGATTTTTAATCCATTTTAAATACTTAAAGTTTTAAAAATAGAATAAAATCTCGTAGACAAATTAATTGCACACCAAGTGAACGCGAAATAAAAAAGCGCATAATAGTGCGCAATATTATTATTACTTTTAAAATTTACATTAGTTTTTTGAGAAATCGGAAGTAGCGTAAAGTACTACTTCCAGTCAACGGAAATGACTCAAAATTTAATAGAAGGTAGAGAATTAGATCTTTTACTTACGTATGAAATTTCATTTATCTATCTGAAATAGTACTCAAGTTATAGGCTTTTGAAAAATTCAAAGTAGGAAAAGTACCACTTCCGGTTATCGGAAATCGCTCAAAAGTTGATACGGATCTACGATTTTGATAAAATACTTATATATGAAATTTCATCAACCTAGCTGTAACGGTACTCAAGTTATCGTGTTTACACACGGACACACACACACACAGACACACACACAGACACACAGACATACGGACAAGATTGCAAAATTATGTTTTTCCGTATCAGTGAGATGCAAAACGTTGAGATTTGCAAAAATCTCGATTTTTTTTTTTTGCACGATTACAAGACTTTCTCTATACTTCGTATATACGAGAAAGTAAAAAGAATCCTGCAATACTAACAATGAATCAGCTTAGACACAAGTCTTAAATTTCCAAAAAACAGTTGCATGATTTAAATGCAGTTTTGACACAGATAGTATCACCACAAAAGAGAAACTTGTGGAATGAGTTTAAATCTACTGGATGAACTCTTAAAATAGCATTCAATAAAATTAATGTTTCACCAGAAAATTAAAAAAAGAATTAATTCAAGTTGACTTTAAAAATATCGAAAGTTGTTATGGTATATCTAAGATAGTTAAGTATGAAAGCATTTTTTTCAATCGAAATCTTAAAAACTACGATTATAACCCACGTACATAACACACCATTTAAAAAAGAAAATCTAGAAAATAGCTAAGTGTTCTTTGAGTAATAAACTAGTGAGTCTGCTCAGCTCTATTAGTTACCCGGCCTTTTAAAATACATACGATAATGTTTACAACATTCTGTTAATGTTATTTACGGGTGGTATTTGGTAACATAAAACTGTTAACTAAGTGATCAATTTAGCCCATTACGTCCGAGTTTAACTAAACATGTATTAGCTACCGGACCTGAACGAATTAGAGTTCACCCGTTCTTAAACACGACCACCCCACCCACGTTAATAAAGCAATTTAATACGTAGGCGCTAGCATGAATTCACCTTTCACTGGGAAGTAAAACTAAATGTCATATTTGCATTACCGCAGATTAGACGTTCAATACAATATGTGACAAAAAATTCAATCAATGCATTCAAGTAAAATCGGCCACATCCGCTTTGCTCAATAGAAGACTGTCAAGGTTCCAACACACTAAACGGTTGCATGCGTAGTTTCAAAATTTGTCAAGCTTAGAGGCGTAGCGAGGGGGGGGGGGCGGACCGCACCGGGTGACACCATGTAGGGGGGTGACACCAAGGCAAAACATAGCAAAATATATAGAGACAATAATTTGAAGTGGGGGGTGCAAATCGAAAGTTTGGGGGGGGGGGTGCAAATCGAAAGTTTGAGGGCGGGGGGGGGGCGGGATGCACATCGAAAGTTTGATGGGGGGGGGTGCAAATTGAAAGTTTGAAAGTTTGTCCCCGGGAAGGGTAACTACGCCTGTGTGTGTGTGTGTGGGGGGGGGGGGGGGTGACACCATTAAGTGCCGAACCAGGTGACACCCGACCTCGCTACGCCACTGGTCAAGCTCACGAATATTGCAATAGAAATATGTAGCCCAAAAAACACCTGGCGTATCAAGATTTAAAAGATAAACAATTTAAGAAAACATTAATTAAAGGAAAGAGTTTTAAAGAAGAGTTTTAAAGAAGTGTGGAACATTAGTTCTGAACTCTGATGTTTAGTAAACTGTAGCACAGGACAGAAAATCATGGTATGATTTAAATGTTCTATGCTTCACTGGGAGCTGAAAAAGGCGGAGAAGAAGAGGATTATGGGAGTGGGTTTTTTAATGGTAGTTATAGGATGGTTTATGCTGTGTAGATGTCGCATTAGTTTGTTCGTGGAAGTAGGTTCTCCATCTTAACTAGAAATATTGGAATGGTGGGGGGGGGGGGGGGGGTGGGATAATATAAAGACATGAATGCTTGTGACATAGTGTGACATCAAACGGTCATGACATCAAGACAATTCAAATATGACATCAGACTGATGACACCAAAACGATGACACGAAAATGGTCGGTAACGATATCGTAGATTCCGGCTATCCACACCATCAAATTGCGAAACTCCTAAAAAAATAAATCACCGATAAAATAAAGAAACTACTAAAAATAACACACGCATATTCACTAATATATAATTAAAACTAAAACAATATAACACTCCTTAAAACATTAACACAAATTTAAAAAAAAAACTAACACCGAAAAAAAAACTAACAATCACACAATGAAAAAAATTACAAAAGTCAGCACGACGGATAAAAAAAACTAATTAAATGTGTAGAAGTTATGCAATGGAAAAACAATTATCATTAATTAAAAAAAAATATTTACATGCCGGTATTTTAAAATCTGGTGCCACAACATACTTGTTTAAAACAGCTTAAACATAACGGCATTAACACATGCTTCACTCACTGTGAGGCACATCAAAACATGCATTTCTTGTTACAAAATTCCTTAAACCTTCGTGTAAATAGGTGAAACGAGACCATCTGTTTAAGAATCAATGCAGAGGGTAACACAGCAAGGATTTTATTTTACACACGTGTCGTGTGTAGAGTTACTTTCTCGTTTAGTAGAAAAAAAACCAAACTAAATATGTGAGGCATAGTTTTAGTTCAGAAATTTTTTTTTGCTTAATCTGGTTTAACAAATTATAAGAATTGTAGGATCGTTGTTTTTGTTTAGAAGTCTCGAAACAAATTTTTGCAAGCTCACCGTGTTTATTAAGGAAATATTACAGAACAGTTTCATGATCCCAGCTTTAGTTAGAGACGTATTACAAATGTGGTGTGTACTTAGACTTTTAACTGAGAAAACATTTACTTACACTTATAATTTAGAGATATAAAAATCGAATACGTGAGCTCAGTGGCGTAGCGAGGTCGGGTGTCACCCGGTGCGGCACTTAATGGTGTCACCCACCCCCCCCCCCAGAGGCGTTGCGACCCTTCCCGGGGACAAACTTTCAAGTTTTCGGTTTGCACCCACCCCCCTCAAACTTTCGATTTGCACCCCCCCTCAAGTTTTTGATTTGCACCCCCCCCCTCAAGTTTTCTCTATATATTTTGCTATTTTTTGCTTTGGTGTCACCCCCCTAAAAGGTGTCACCCGGTGCGGTCCGCACCCCCCACCCCCCCTCGCTACGCCCCTTAAGATTAAGCAATATTGCATACAGTTTGAAGCCTAATCAAACTATAGCTTAGAGAGTATTACAAAACTAACCGTTACAATAGCTCAAAATCTATAATAATGATATTGATCGGAGGCTTAACGTATTCAAAATATAGAATTTAAACACCCATTAATGTATGCAAATATTCAACAATTCTTAGATAAGCATTCTTAGGCCGATACTGCTTGCTTAAAATCATACTTTTACATTAATGGCCTCTAGCCTAGACCAACATTACATAAAAGCCTATAATTAGAACTCAAACTTGCTGAACTATCTTTGACCATCCACAGATAAAAGATCTCTCACACAATTCTCCACACAACAGAAGGTCTCTCACACAATTCTCCACACAACAGAAGGTCTCCCACACACCAGCCCACACAGCAGAAGGTCTCTCACACAATTCTCCACACAACAGAAGTTCTCCCACACACCCACCTGTCCACAAAGCACTTGTTCTCCCACACACCTCTCCACACAGAAAAAGATCTCCCACACACTCACCTGTCCACACAACAGAAGGTATTCCACACACTCCCCCACACAGCAGGTCTACCACACACTCACCTGTCCACACAGCAGAAAGTCTTCCACACACTCCCACACACAACAGAACGTCTCCCACACACACAGCTGTCCACACGGCAGAAGATCTCCCACACACTCACCTGTCCACACAGAACAAGTTCCCCCACAGCCTGTTATTCCGTCACGGTGCTGAGACTGTACTGGCAGTACATGAGTCTTGTCAGAACTGACGAATTAGCTCCGCCCTCAAACCGTTTTATGCCGGGTAGGCGTGCGGTGCAGTTCCGTGCTGGTGCAGTAGGTGCTTGGTTAACTGTGTGGTCAGTGTGTTCAAGTGATACTGTGTGTTCACGTGATACTGTGTGGTCACGTGATACTGTGTGGTCAGTGTGTTCACGTGATACTGTGTGGTCAGTGAGTTCACGTGATACTGTGTGGTCACATGATACTGTGTGGTCAGTGTGTTCACGTGAAACTGTTTGGTCAGTGTGTTCACGTGATACTGTGTGGTCAGTGTGTTCACGTGATACTGTGTGGTCAGTGTGTTCACGTGATACTGTGTGGTCAGTGTGTTCACGTGATACTGTGTGGTCAGTGTATTCACGTGATACTGTGTGGTCACGCGTGTTCACGTGATACTGTGTGGTCACGTGTGTTCACGTGATACTGTGTGGTCAGTGTGTTCACGTGATACTGTGTGGTCAGTGTGTTCACGTGATACTGTTTGGTCACGTGTGTTCACGTGATACTGTGTGGTCAGTGTGTTCACGTGATACTGTGTGGTCAGTGTGTTCACGTGATACTGTGTGGTCAGTGTGTTCACGTGATACTGCGTGGTCAGTGTGTCCACGTGATACTGTGTGGTCACGTGTGTTCACGTGATATTGTGTGGTCAGTGTGTTCACGTGATACTGTGTGGGCAGTGTGTTCACGTGATACTGTTTGGTCACGTGTGTTCACGTGATACTGTTTGGTCACGTGATACTGTGTGGTCACGTGATACTAAGTGGTCAGTGTGTTCACGTGATACTCAGTGGTCAGTGTGTTCACGTGATACTGTGTGTTCACGTGATACTGTGTGTTCACGTGATACTGTGTGTTCACGTGATACTGTGTGTTCACGTGATACTGTGTGTTCACGTGATACTGTGTGCTCAGTGTAGTGATGTGACAAGGTTTGTTGTGATTGTGATTGTGTTGATGTAACAATGTGTGGTCAGCGTGTTAACTTGACAATCTTTGCCAACAATCTCAAATTTTATGTTGTTAAATTGGCAAACTTTACCCAAAACAAAATGTTCTTGGTGACGTAGAGTGTTTTTGTAAGCACGCAAGCACGTTCAAAACAAATTCGCGTATTCCCTACAACACAGACCGACAGACAGACCGCCAAACAGACCGCCAGACAGACTGACCGACAGACCGACAGACCGACAGACCGACAGACCGACAGACAGACAGACAGACAGACAGACCGACAGACAGACAGACAGACAGACAGACAGACAGACAGACAGACAGACAGACAGACAGACAGACAGACAGACAGACAGACAGACAGACAGACAGACAGACAGACAGACAGACAGACAGACAGACAGACAGACAGACAGACAGACAGACAGACAGACAGACAGACAGACAGACAGACAGACAGACAGACAGACAGACAGACAGACAGACAGACAGACAGACAGACAGACAGACAGACAGACAGACAGACAGACAGACAGACAGACAGACAGACAGACAGACAGACAGACAGACAGACAGACAGACAGACAGACAGACAGACAGACAGACAGACAGACAGACAGACAGACAGACAGACAGACAGACAGACAGACAGACAGACAGACAGACAGACAGACAGACAGACAGACAGACAGACAGACAGACAGACAGACAGACAGACAGACAGACAGACAGACAGACAGACAGACAGACAGACAGACAGACAGACAGACAGACAGACAGACAGACAGACAGACAGACAGACAGACAGACAGACAGACAGACAGACAGACAGACAGACAGACAGACAGACAGACAGACAGACAGACAGACAGACAGACAGACAGACAGACAGACAGACAGACGAACATACCATTGAACAAAACACAAAAACTTACTCACCGCTTCTCTTTAACGATAGATTCTAGTAGTTTTCGTCGGCCAATAGATTTCATCATCTAGATCTAGAATAGTTTCAATGTGTTTTCCCGATTTTCTATAGGTCAGAGAAAGCAAAAATACAAAGATTCGAATTGCACAATTTTACGAATCGCCCACTTGAAGCCTGTGAATGAATATAATTTTGTAATACCTCTTCCCCTATAAAAAAATCCTAAATTAGTAAATTTGAGTGTGTGTGCCTTTTGAACCCATAAGGAGGGGTGGGGGGGGGGAAGGTGGGGAAGGTTTTGAAGAACGGGTAAGTCTTGACAAACAATGTGTGACGTCATTTATGAAGGACCAACAACTGAATTCAAACGTTAGCCTTAAGTGCTCACTTCCAATGACAGCGATACATCGTAGTAAGGACAGGACTATAACATGTTTTTCTTTCCGTGGCTAATTGTTTTCCTGTTTTCGTCAAGTCAATGAATTCACTTGACTTTGACCTTTGTGGTTTTGATTAAATTTTGAGCTTGAGATATATCCGTATACACGATGTTTTGGTACGCATTTATTAATTAGTGCTGTACACAAGTACACAAAATTTTTTTTTTGGCTCGGCGTGGCCTAGCGTTAGAGCGCTAGACTGCAAACTCAAAAGTATCGAGTTCGAATCCGGGTTAAAGTCAGTGGAACGTACTTGAATCCACCCAGCTCTGATGGGTACCTAGGGAAAGATAAGGCGGCTGGGTGTAGTGCTGACTATCCCTTCATATGCCAAGCTCAAGTAACATAAATTCTGCCAATGGACCACTAGGGCTAAAGAGGAATCTTTACTTACTTTTTAAAAATTGTTTTGTTAGAAAAAAAACCACATTCTGACTAAGATGAGAAATGTTAAAAGAAAATGATGGGAGAAGGGTGGGGGTTAGAGAGGGGGGAGTAGGTTTAAAATTACTTTGGTTTTCGTCCGACAGTTTAAAGTGTCCTTAAAACAAGAGAGGACAACCGCATTTAAAAGCTGATGACTAGTGAAGGCAGGAGTGCTCTGCTCTTGTCCTTTAAAAACAAAAACCTTTACCCCAAAGCTCTCTTGATGGTGCACTGTTCAAAGTCAAAAGTATATCCGTTAAACATACACCCACATATACACACAAACACACACGCAAACACACAAACATAACAAATATAGGATTATACACATATTATACATCACAAATATATGGAGATGACACGTTTTAAGGCCGCGTATATTAAAATGGCTTTTTTTCGCACAACCACACACAATACAACAAAATATAAAGACCCCCACCCCCTCATGTTATGTAATATATGCACGGCCGACTATATGACCCCCCCCCCCTTTTCATGTCATATAATATGAAGACAGCCAACTATATGACCCCTACACTTTTTATATTTATGTGTTATGAGCGCAGCCGACTATATGATTGTAATATGATAAGCCATATCATCTAAGCATGTCGCTAAAATACAAAACTTTAGTTCAAAAGGATATCAGTTTTACAACCTGGATCCCGTTTCTGTCACTAATGTCACGGTGACCTCGGCCGAGGTGTAAATTGCTAGGTTAAAATTTGATCTAAAGAACCGAGTGATTTAGCAGATCCTGTTTGTTTGATCTGAGATTTTTAGAAGGCCTGCTCTGGTTGAGTGATTTTTCCCAATTCCGTGTTTTGGCGGTCAGTGATGCTGAACAGTTGTGACGTGTGTTTTTAGACTTTGGTGACTATTGAATTTTGTGAATTTACTGAATTTGTTGAATTCATTGAATTTTGTGAATTTAGTGAATTTGTTGAATTTATTGAATTTTTTGAATTTTATGAATTTTTTGAATTTGTTGAATTTATTGAATTTTTTGAATTTTATGAATTTTTTGAATTTGTTGAATTTATTGAATTTTTTGAATTTTTTGAATTTAATGAGACTGATAACTGATGAATTTGATGAATGGCAAGTTTGGTGACGTTAGTGAATTAATTGTCTTGGTTAAATCTTGACTTTGTGGAAGATGATGACTGTTGACTTTAATTACTATTATTGAATTTTATGACTTTGCTGACCGGCGACTTGAAGACCACACCGGTGACACCATACTAGGTGGGTGGTGACACCATCCTCGGTGGGTGGTGACACCATAATAGGTGGGTGGTGACACCATCCTCGGTGGGTGGTGACACCATAATAGGTGGGTGGTGACACCATCCTCGGTGGGTGCTGACACCATACTAGGTTGGTGGTGACACCATAATCGGTGGGTGGTGACACCATCCTCGGTGGGTGGTGACACCATAATAGGTGGGTAGTGACACCATCCTCGGTGGGTGGTGACACCATACTAGGTGGGTGCTGACACCATTCTAGGTGGGTGGTGACACCATGCTAGGTGGTGACACCATGCTAGGTGGTGACACCATGCTAGGTGGGTGGTGACACCATGCTAGGTTGTGACACCATGCTAGGTGGTGACACCATGCTAGGTGGTGACACCATGCTAGGTGGGTGGTGACACCATGCTAGGTGGTGACACCATGCTAGGTGGGTGCTGACACCATACTAGGTGGGTGCTGACACCATGCTAGGTGGTGACACCATGCTAGGTGGGTGGTGACACCATGCTAGGTGGTGACACCATTCTAGGTGGGTGGTGACAACATGCTAGGTGGTGACACCATGCTAGGTGGGTGCTGACACCATACTAGGTGGTGACACCATGCTAGGTGGGTGGTGACACCATGCTAGGTGGTGACACCATTCTAGGTGGGTGGTGACAACATGCTAGGTGGGTGCTGACACCATCCACGGTGGGTGGTGACACCATACTAGGTGGCTGGTGACACCATCCTTGGTGGTGAGACCACCGTACTAGGGGGTGACTCTCCTAGGGAGACTATCATAGGTGGTGACACCATCCTAGCATGAAAAGTAAACGTCAACTTTTTCCAATTTGTTTACTAACTTCTTAAAGCTACAAGCCTTAATGAGCACACCTTGACACCATGCAGGAGAAGGGTGACTCAAATACCACCCGAGTTTTAATACATCTGTGACGGAGTGGTAACACCCTCGGTTACACACAGCTAGTACAGAATTAACCTACACTAACCTTGTAGGGGAACTGGACTAAACTGAAGCAATCCCATAATGTTCTAACACAGCTTAAATACCCTTACAGAAAACAGCTACAAAACGGACTGTCACAACTCACAGCACCAGAATTGAACAGGGACGAAGGGATAGGGTACAAATTATCAAAGTTTCTTCCAGGCATCTCTTCGGCGGGGCTCTGTCCCCCCCCCCCCCCCCCGAAAAAAATCTACCCCCCCCCCAAACGAAATGGAATTATATAGAAAACATACTTTTACTAGTATCCCCCACCCTCCCCGAAAAATGTTATCCGACACCCCTCCCCCCCCCACACTCCCCCCCCCGCGAAAATATCAAGTGCCTCCCAGAGAAAAGGGTCTGGAAGAAACACTGCGAAGTATAAACAACATTGCCTTCCATTCATCCACTCAGACTTATTCACTACAACTACCCCGTCCACCGTATGCTTTTTTTTTTTTCAAAATATCTAATTTTTCACTCATACCTGAGATCAGGTTATCTCACCAAATTTGAAGGCAGCCCATTTCGGTGCGTAAGGTGCAGTATTATCATGTTATAGACCGTATTTGTTATCTTTTTGTTATTCGAACTCAAATTAAACTACTCAATCAAACACGTCCCAAAATAAACATTTAAAAATTAAGTTTGAAGCAACATTTGAAGCAACATTAAAATCAAGATTTATTTACATCACCAAACTATTAATTTTTTTTAAAATTTTGCAGAATTTCAAATGTGCTTAGTTGTTACATTTTTCAATTATATCTATATAAAACTAATTTAAAAAAACATAAAAAAAGAAAAATAATATATTAAGATGTTTCCGAAATAATTAGGTAAAAATAAAAATTTTCACGGTATTAAGAAGGGCATTAACTGTACTATTTAGATAATCCAAGACATGCTTCATTATTTCCCTGTAATGTTAATGGCGATTTAATTGTTTTGATTTTTTATTACCACGTTTTCTTTAACTTGCTTTCTCTGTTTGTTTGTCTTTCCAATCAAATCTTGCGATCGAAATTTCTGGCACTTCCCAGTTAGCTAGCGCGCTGAAATTTTCAGGGAAGCTTTCTTTTGGATGACCATTGAATATTCAATTGTTATTATTACTAAATTGATCAATGGAAACATTTTATTGAGCATTTTAGACCGCTATATAATCTATATATATAATTCTCCTCTGCTAGCGTTAGAAAAAAAACCAGCGACGCGTACCTCGCGCGCAGTGAAGCGAACGATCACATGTCGCCACAGGCTTAGGGGCAGAGAATTTAGCTTGAACCGAGTTTAAACTTACAGGAGGTAGGCCAGTTTGGGGGAGACGATATGGTCGAGTGGTTGGGCACACGATTGCTATCCCACTCGACACGGGTTCAAATCTATGTGTTCTAGTCAGTAACGTATTCAAACAACGTGTTTTTTACGAGTTGTCTTTTTACGAGTTGTCTTTTTACGAGTTGTCTTTTTACGAGTTGTCTTCGTTTACCCAAAAAAAGTGAAAAGATAAAATCGATAGCAAGATTTTAATGCAAACAAACAGACAAAGACTAAAAAGTAGAAAATAATAATCATTAAAAAAGTTTTAAAAAACCCACGTTTTCTGATTGAACTAAAAAGTAGAAAATAAATGCTATAGGCCCTACATCACAATAATGCAAGCGATCACTCTACTATAAGCGAGCAAAAACGTGGGGCGCCGTGATTTTCTTACAGTTTCTAATACTCTCTACAAGCTCCCTAATAAAAGTCAATAGTATTATCTAATCAATAGTAATATAACTTTTACTTCGGCGCCCCACGTTTTTGATCGCTTATAGTAGAGTGATCGCTTGCATTATTGTGATGTAGGGCCTATAGCATTTATTTTCTACTTTTTAGTTCAATCAGAAAACGTGGGTTTTTTAAAACTTTTTTTAATGATTATTATTATTACGTGAAATTAAAACAAAAATACTCAACCATGAAAGCTTTCCGTATACTACTGAACTAGTTATACAACAGGGCATGTTTCTTATAAAAACAAATTAAACCTTCACTTAATACAATAAATGTAATGTTAGATAATGAACATCTAAAACATACTTCTTTACAGTTTTATTTATATTTGAAAGTACTATCATTTGAAAAAAGTAAAGAATAACAAACATGTACAAAATATGTGCTTTCGAATTTGATTGTTAATATTCAAAGCTAATAAAACAAATGACAATCGAAATTAAAATTATTTTCAATTGAAATAGTTAAAATAGTGCTCCTTTTATTAAAAAAAGAAATAACTGCATTTATAAAATACCATTTTTGTAATGGTTGTTTCCCTTTTCTATTGGTATAAAGCAGGGGTCGGCAACCTTTTGAAGCGGAAGAGCCAAAAGTTACAATTTTCAAAATTGCCTTGGTTTTAAAGAGCCACTAACATTTTTTTTATTTCAAATATTTTATTTTTTATTAAGATTATTAGTATTTGTTCAAGGAGCTGGAGAGCCGCATCTTAATATCGCGAGCCGCAGGTTGCCGACCCCTGGTATAAAGTGCAATAAGTAGAGGTAATTTAAATTAAGGCTTTAGTTATCCTAAAAACATGCTGTACTACGAAAAATTATTAATTAGAAAACTATAAACATTTTACAGCAAAATTTCTTTTAATCCAATTCCTGTTCAGTTGTTAAAATATTTAAAGTAAATTAATTTTATAAACAAAGTAGGGTTTTAAAAAAACATTTTTTTTTCAAAATGTAAATTGTTATAAATTTTGATGGTGTAATTGATTTAGTATAAAGCGATTTTAGTTTATTACACTTTGTTTTCTTTATTAAATTTCAAAATGCACTTTTTTACATTTACTAAGGAGGACAACTGTTTGTTTAGTGCTAATATCGTGCTTACTTCCCTTTTCCCTTTTATATTTGATCCAATAAACAGGTGACAACTTAGCAGTCTCTAAGTTTGTTGAGAGCGTTATTAAAACAAATACGCTATTGTTTGAAAATTTAAATGTTATAATTATTTACATCAAAATCGAAATAATTTTATGAAAGAGATTAAAAATAGATGGGTAAGCCTCAGTATAGAGTTCTGAAAACGTCTAGTTCAATTCAAAAGTCCTTTTTTCAAGAATAAATATATTTTCAGGACGGCATGTACATATATAAAATATTCAAAGTTTTAATAATATAATTTCTAAAAAGCAAAAAGTTTTTGCAACTATAAATAGCAAATAAAGTAAGTTAAAAACAAAAACTGGTCAAAAGAAACGAAACCTGCAACGCCAACTAGTTTGGTTAAAATAGACAGGGTGGATCAGCTGACTGCTAGCATAGAATAGTTGTATTTAGTTTTAATGTCTACCTACTTTTTAAAATTTTATATTGCTAGGCACTATCAACGTTCTCGTATTTTATAAATAGAATCAGGGGAGATGATACAACGACAAATCTACCTGGGATTAAAAACTTAAAATGATGACAAAAATGTTGTACACACATAGATCTTTATAACTTTTTTTTCAAATGAATGACACACTTTTCTTACAGAATGGCTCAGCATAATAGTTTTAAAAATTCCCTGTAGTTTTAAACATTACTTCTTGTTTATTACTAATTAATTTTAAAAAAAATTAAAATCTACCAATCTAAAAAAACCTCACTCGTAATTTCAAAATACGGGCAAATCTGTATTTCCAGGTTGATAAAAGGTGAATCTAAAGATTATGTAGATTGCTCTTTACGATAGTTACTGGATTACTTCTACTAAGCTAGCAGTCATTTGGTTAGTCACCTGATAAGTCACCATTAGAGTACGCACAACACTCCACCAATCACCAACATCCTCCTCTACCACCAGTCACCAACTTCCTCCTCTACAACCCTAACACCAGTCACCAACATCCTCCTCTACCACCAGTCACCAACTTCCTCCTCTACAACCCTAACACCAATCACCAACATCCTCCTCTACCACCAGTCACCAACATCCTCCTCTACCACCAATCACCAACATCCTCCTCTACCACCAGTCACCAACATCCTCCTCTACCACCAGTCACCAACTTCCTCCTCTACCACCAATCACCAACATCCTCCTCTACCACCAGTCACCAACATCCTCCTCTACCACCAGTCACCAACTTCCTCCTCTACAACCCTAACACCAGTCACCATCATCCTCCTCTACCACCAGTCACCATCATCCTCCTCTACCACCCTGCTAGCGTTGCCCGGCCCCCCCTCCACCTTGACTCAGGACCTGGCCACAACCTGGGTCATCTCCGTCTCCACCGACAACTGTGCAGATGATGCCTTGGTTCCCTTATGTCCCTCTTGATCTTTAGGGGCCTCGGGATCTTTAAGATCCTTGGGGTCTTTAGTATCCTTGGGTTCTTTAGGTGACTGGGGGTCTCTCTGGGTTTTGATGGCCTTTAAATTACTCGCAGTAGCTAGGGGAGGTGCCGATCGTCCCTTTGTACCGACTTGATTTAGCCTGTAATGTTTTATAAGTAAACGAATTAGATGAGTAAAATAATGTTAAAATATAAGTAGTTTGACTTAAAGTACTCAAGGCCCTTGCACAACACAAGTAAAATAACTGTTATAAGTAAATTAACTTTATATCAACATAACAAATAGGCTATTGTTGCATGGGTCACGCCGTAGAACCGACTTTATTGTTCCTTTATATAAACTTTTTTTTAAAAGCCGTGTGGTTGTTACGTTTGATGCGTATCGTCAATGGCGTAGTGAGGGGGGGAGCGGGGGTGCGGACCGCACCGGGTGACACCATTTAGGGGGTGACACTGAGGCAAAAAATAGCAAAATATATAGAGAAAAACTTGAGGGGGGGGGTGTGCAAATCGAAAGTTCGATGGGGGGTGCAAATCAAAAGTTTGAGGGGGGGGGGGGTGCAAATCGACAGTTTGAGAGAGGGGGGTTCAAATCGAAAATTTGAAAGTTTGTCCCCTGGAAGGGTCACTACGCCTCTGCGGGGGTGGCACCATTAACTGCCGCACCGGGTGATACCCGACCTCGCTACGCCACTGCATGTCGTTGTTTAAAGTGTTGGATTGCTCGCATATTTATTGATGTGTAGGAGTGTTGATGTCATTGTGTGTTGATGGTTATACACACACACACACACACACACACGCAAACACACACACACACACACACACACACACATATATATATATATATATATATATATATATATATATATATATATATATATATATATATATATATATATATATATATATATATATATATATATATATATATATATATATATATCTGAAAGCCTAGACTGACGTTCGTTATGAATGAAGTGACTCCCACAGCGATCATAAAAGTTAACTGAGTAAGCTAAAGCAAGTACAAGTCTAAATATAACAGGAAGCGAATGTCAAGTGAAAGTCAAGCTGTTGCCAATATGTGACGGTGTGGTTGAGTAAAAGAGTATTCGACTGCGAGCTCGAAAGTCTAGAGTTCGGATCCCGGTCCCAGCTAGATTCTGCAAGACGTTCCTCAGTCCACCTAGCTCTGGTGGGTATCTGCAGAGGCGTAGCGAGGGGGGGGGGCGGGGGGTGCGGATCGCACCGGGTGACACCATTTAGGGGGGTGACACCAAGGCAAAAAAAAGCAAATTATATAGAGAAAAATCATAATTCCACATAATTAAGTGATTGATCCGAGTGTTAAATGGTTTTTTAAGAGATGCAAATTGAAAGTTTGAGGGGGGTGGGGTGCAAATCGATAGTTTGAGGGGGTGGGGGTGCAAATCGAAAATTGAAAGTTTGTCCCCGTGAAGGGTCGCTACGCCTCTGGGGGGTGACACGATTAAGGGCCGCACCGGGTAACACCCGACCTCGCTACGCCACTGGGTATCTGACTCTCGTTAAGAATAGTTAAGTAGCTAGGTGAACACACCATACCTACATATGCCCAGTCAAGAATCATGTGAACCCTTCTTCAATCGTCCTATGAATCGCCTGGTTGGAAATCTGTACTCAATTTACCGTAGTAGCGACAGAGTAGGACCAAATTGTTCCTTAAATCTCAATACTCTCGTACATGCTATGAAAACATCTATTAAAAACTACTGAACTCCGCAGCGTTGCATGCACTAAATTACCAAAACCCTTAACCAAGGACCTCTTTCATATACTCAAGTTATCGTGTTTACACACACACACACACACAGACGCACATACACACACAGACATACGGACAAGATTGTAAAACTATGTTTTTCCGACTCAGTGAGCCCTAAAACGTCGAGATTTTTTTTTTTGCACGATTACAAGACTTTCTCTATACTTCGTATATACGAGAAAGTAAAATAGGAACTTTACAAAACTTAAATGTCCCGTATACTCTAACAAACCCTAGCCATAAATCTGACATTTACTATGATAAAAACCCAATTGTGTCAAACTGATCTTGGAAGATAATAAAATTAAAAAAAAAATGGCCAGTAATCAGAAGCTCATGATTCTAAAACTTTGCTACTATAAAACTGTGAATACATCCAACAACATTAGGACTTGGCACACCAAAAATTTACCTTTTAATTGACACAGCATTCGTTTATCTTTAACCTTTACACACATATATCTTTTATCTTTACACAACATAAGTACACATTTTAACGTTATACAACACAAATTTACCTTTAATTTTTGCCAACACTGTTACATTTGGTACACAACATTAAATTACGTTTTAACTTTACCAGAAAAAAATCCACTTCTTATCTTTACACAATGTAAACTTACCATTTAACTTTACACAATGTAAATTTACTTTTTATCGTTGCACAATGTAAATTTACCTTTTATCTTTACACAATATAAATTTACCTTTTAATTTTACACAATGTAAATTTAAATTTTATCTTTACAAAATGTAAATTTACCTTTTAATTTTACACAATGTAAATTTACCTTTTAATTTTACACAATGTAAATTTACCTTTTATCTATACATAAAGTAAATTTACCTTTTCTTGATCCTCCCGGCGGAGATAGTACACAGAACGACATTGATGAAAATAGTAGCATACGCCAGCCCCAGACCAATGCTGAACACTATGGTGAGATATGTATCCCCTGTAGCACATAATACAAAAGATACGTTTACAAAACTAGTTTTACATTTAAGATTGGTACCTATATAAACTATGTGTTTTGAAAACAAGTTTACTGACAGGATTGGTGCCTGAGGCGTCGAGAGGCGAGAGCGGGAGGGGGGGGGGGGGGGGTGCGGACCCAACTGGGTAACATCAATTGGGGGGGGGGGGGGTGAAACCATGGCAAAAAAATGGCAAAAAAAAATATAGAAAAAAATGCCTTTTGTCTGTTTAGGTAATGATTATTTAGAGTTAAAAAAGTCTTTTAGGTACAAATTAACGCTCCCGACAATGGCGAGGGGGGGAAGGTCTACTCTATTGCTCAAACCTGCTAACTAACTATATATATATATATATATATATATATATATATATATATATATATATATATATATATATATATATATATATATATATATATATATATATATATATATATATATATATATATATATATATATATATATATATATATATATATATATATGGTGTATACTTTTTTCTTTTGGTGGGGTGGGGGGGGGGGGGTGACACCATGAGGTGCCGCACCGGGTGACACTCGACCAAGCAACGCCACTGATTGGTAACGATACAAAACCACACATTTTAAAAATAAGTTTAACATACCAAAAAAATACGTTTGGTTCCCCAATTAAAAAAAAATACGTTTTAAAACGCAAGTATTACACACATGAGTGCTATCAATACAAACATTCATCTGCCATATTGCATGTGGGGTCCAAAAGGTTTTCTCATAACTTATATAAACATCAACGGCAAAGCTAAAACATAATTTCTGTGTTTGGCTTAAACAATAGACAGTTGTACAAGAAGCTGTGCTTCAATAACACGTACATTACACGTTTAAAATAAAAATCAGTTTTAGGGGTCGTTCACTGAAGGCGTTTGCACAGAGGAGAAAATGGATGGGGGGGGGGTAAGGTTTTTAAAAACTAGACTTTTGTGGACTCACTAAACTGGGTTCAGATTCATTTTCAGCATGTTAATATTAACATCCAAACTTTAACAAAAAATAATATAAAGTGTGTACATTTATTTAAACGGCAATTGTGATGATATATTTAAATAGCAGTGACATAAAAAACACAAAGACAAAACACGAACTTCTAGGGCGTACGGTTAAGGAACGTCGAAGGAAAAAGAAAAATGAGTTGAGAACCCCAGGTAGTCACTCGACTTAGAGTAATGATGCGTATAAATATCTATCTATATATATAATTCTCTTCTTCGAGCCGTTAGAAAACAAGCTGCAAACGCTCTCCCTACCTCCCCACCCCCACATGGTTTTAGTGAGCTGTGTTCACTCTAAATGTGTACAAGCAGAGCCAACGATTTTAAACGTAGGGGGGGGGGGAGGAGGGGGGGAGGGAAGGAAGGGGGGGGGGGGGGTTATGGTCCTTAACGAGCTACTTATAGTGTTTTAAAGAAATATTTTCAGTGGCAGCGTTGGTTGGTACTGTCGAATTCACAAATTATGAATTATTGAAAATTAGAAACAACTAAATAGCGGCGTATGTTATGCCGCGGGCCGGCTCGTATATATATAATTCTCTTCTGGGAGCCGCTAGAAAACAAGCTGCAAACGCGCCTAGAAAACAAGCTGTAAACGCGCTCCCTACCTCCCCACCCCTACATGGTTTTAGTGAGCTGTGTTCACTCTAAATGTTTACAAGCAGAGCCAACGATTTTAAACGTGGTGGGGGGGGGGGGAGGGGGGAAGGAAAGGGGGGGGGGGGGGTTATGGTCCTTAACGAGCTACTTATAGTGTTTTAAAGAAATATTTTTAGTGGCAGCGTTGTTACTGTCGAATTCACAAATTATGAATTACTGAAAAGTAGAAAAAACAACAACTAAATAGCGGCGTATGATATGCCGCGGGCCGGCTCGTAGGAAATAATACTCTAAAACTTCTCTTTAACTACAAAACATAAATATTTGAAAGACTAATTTATATTTAGTGTACGCATCAGGACCTGCTGGTCAGGTAGATGTAAATGTACACGTTAAAACCTGTTCGCCTATCTAAACATGTTCCTCATGTAAACATTCATGTACGCTTCTACCCACGGTATGAACTACAGCAGACAAAGTTACACTTCTTTCAGGTGATAATCTAAGTTCCCCGAACATGCAAGACATAAAACACAAACTAGTATAGCGAGGGCATAGAGGACAAACGCATTTTTTTCCACACAAAAAAACATAATCTCGAGAAAAATGAGTTTATAAATCTCATTCCAATATTAAAATACTGTAAACTAATATGTTTAAACATTCATAAAATATTTGCATTCTTTTTTTTTCTGACATTGTAGCTTACATGAGTGTTCTAGTAGCTTGTATTATTGACAGTATCATTATAAAAGTACATCGATTTGACAAAAAAAGTGAACACTGGATTTGTCCTGTATACCCTCGATAAATAGTATTATTTATGAAACATGAATTCTACTTTATCTGCCTAATAAATCGCTAGGTCTAAAGAGGAATCTTTACTTCATCTTTTTACTTTCTCGTATATACGAAGTATAGAGAAAGTCTTGTAATCGTGCAAAAAAAAAAAATCGAGATTTTTGCAAATCTCGACGTTTTACATCTCACTGATACGGAAAAACATAATTTTGCAATCTTGTCCGTATGTCTGTGTGTCTGTGTGTGTGTCTGTGTGTGTGTGTGTCCGTGTGTAAACACGATAACTTGAGTACCGTTACAGCTAGGTTGATGAAATTTCATATATAAGTATTTAATCAAAATCGTAGATCCGTATCAACTTTTGAGCGATTTCCGATAACCGGAAGTGGTACTTTTCCTACTTTGAATTTTTCAAAAGCCTATAACTTGAGTACTATTTCAGATAGATAAAAGAAATTTCATACGTAAGTAAAAGATCTAATTCTCTACCTTCTATTAAATTTTGAGTCATTTCCGTTGACTGGAAGTAGTACTTTACGCTACTTCCGATTTCTCAAAAAACTAATGTAAATTTTAAAAGTAATAATAATATTGCGCACTATTATGCGCTTTTTTATTTCGCGTTCACTTGGTGAGCAATTAATTTGTCTACGAGATTTTATTCTATTTTTAAAACTTTAAGTATTTAAAATGGATTAAAAATCATGTCTATAGCCCGAGTTCCCATCCCCTGTTATTTTATATAAGAATATTCGAGAAAGTTTTGGGGAGATCACTCCCTGTTTATTTATTTTTACTTTATGAAAGTTTTTTTTACAATGTAGTTATTTATACCTAACCAATCCCCTTTTGCGAAAGTTTGTTGTTTCTACCGATAGGCATAATATAGATGCACAGAGTTTAATACCTTAATAAAACAATTGTAATAATTACTTACAGCAACTCATATTGAATCTTTGTTTCTAGTTAACAGCGGGTTAGCTATCGCCCAAAGAAATCCTCACAGCGGTCTGAAAGCTAGCAGTCGCACGTTAAACAATAGTGTCGCCTCAAAGAGCGGAGGTTTATTTCCTCACACCTCTGTTGGCTGGGGGTAGTGTGGGGAGAGGGGGTGGGGCAGTCGTCTGTGCTAGGTGGCGCAACGGTCGTGAAAAGGTAGAGAGAAAGAGGTGATTGTATCCAAGCAACGATTACAAGGCCTAATATGCGCTTTATTTTATGCAGAGTTATTTTGAAATCAAAGTTTTAAATTGTTTGTTTTTGGGCAGGAAAAGTGAACATCCATTCAGGCAGTCGTTAAGCTTTTAACTATTTGTTGTCAAGCATTAAAAGCTCTTCTCAACCCCACCCTAGCATATATATATATATATATATATATATATATATATATATATATATATATATATATATATATATATAAATATATATATATATATATATATATATATATATATATATATATATATATATATATATATGTTCATATATATATATAAATATATATATATATATATATATATATATATATATATATATATATATATATATATATATATATATATATATATATATATATATATATATATTTATATATATATACCTCAATTTTTATAACTTAATACTGACATTTATTATACAGTAAGAAAGGGACCACAGTGAAGAAGTAAGGGGAGTGGGGAACGTTGTGGTCTAGCGGTAGAGTCTAGGTTTGAAACGGCAGATCGATATTCATATATTCATATCCTGGTGGAAACTCTCGGCTCTAGGGGCTGGTAACATGGGTGAGAGAGAGTCGGGGATAACTGAATACGAGAGGGAGACAGGGAGAGAGACAGGGGGAGAGGCAGGGAGAGAGACAGAGTGCAGAGAGAGTCAGAAAGGGAGAGAGCCAGAAAGAGAGATACAGAGAGACAGAGAGAGACAGAGATGAAGAGAGAGGCAGAGTGCAGAGAGAGTCAGAAAGGGAGAGAGCCAGAAAGAGAGATACAGAGAGACAGAGAGAGACAGAGTTGAAGAGAGAGGCAGAGTGCAGAGAGAGTCAGAAAGGGAGAGAGCCAGAAAGAGAGATACAGAGAGACAGAGAGAGACAGAGATGGAGAGAGAGGCAGAGTGCAGAGAGAGTCAGAAAGGGAGAGAGTCAGAAAGAGAGATACAGAGAGAGACGGAGATGGAGAGAGAGGCAGAGTGCAGAGAGAGAGAGAGGGAGAGTCAGAAAGGGAGAGAGCCAGAAAGAGAGATACAGAGAGACAGAGAGAGACAGAGATGGAGAGAGAGGCAGAGAGCAGAGAGAGAGAGACTAAAAGATATAGCCTACACAGAGAGATATAGGAGGTACAAATTGAAAACTTTTTCTAATCGAAGTTTTGAGAAATAAATAATCATAGTTTTTAGTCAGTTATGACATTCAAAGAGAAATTTTAAAATAAAGGTAAAAATAAGCATAGTACAGTATGTACCTCGGGCTACGAACAGTTCGGTTTACGAAGTACCTATAAATAAAGACAACGGTTTAAATTGATGGTACGCAATACGAAGTAAAACGTCATTTTAAACAAGTAACCGTGTAGATTTGAGAGTGTAACCTACAGTTTCCTTGAACTTCGCAAGTGAAAAGATTGTGTGCGCAACCGCCTTTAATTTCTTACAGAACGAGACGGGCACCCATTAAGGCTGGGTGGACTCGTGTACGTCTAGCTGTTTCAGGCACCCCTGGGCTGGCACTGGCCAACCCATAAAAACTTGGGGCAGGGGTAAGGCGGTATGGCTGAACATACATTTTTTATTACTTCCTATAATATAGAAACAAATAATGATTTTAGTCAGTATTGGGCTATGATAGTGGAAAGCCCACACATTTTTCGTTTTTGGTATATGATATATATATATATATATATATATATATATATAAAATTATATATGCGTGTGTGTGTGGTGTGCGTATGTATGGATATGTGTGCATTTAAGGAATAAACACAGTTTTAATGTCAGTCTAATCATTAGCAGGAGAAAGCAACAAGACGAGACAAAACGAGACAATCTCGTTTTGGATTCACCTCTTTTGATGGTGTCACCCGGTGCGATCGCCCCTCCCCACCCTTTTCCCTCCCCACTTTAACCTGTTGGTTCTGCTGCTTGGATGTGCCCACACGCTCCTTACAACAGACACAGGTGAATCGTAGGCTTAGATTTACTCAGGTATCGAACTTAAGGGGCTGGGGCGGGGTGCAGGAGGGGGATCTGGTGTGACCGTTTGTCTCAAGGTTGACAATTAAAAAAATTCACTTGAACGATTACCAGTCCCGAGTTCAGCTCATTCACAGTATTTAAATAGGGCAAAGGTCAGCAATATTTTAAAGAAGTGTAACAAAAACATATCTTATTTTTTTTTTGGAACTTTTTAACTTTATATCTTCATTCGGATATTTTACTAAAACAATTGTATGCCCATATTTTCTGTTGTCATTTCTTAGTAGCAAAGCAAGTACTTATCCCGTTTAATTAACTCGGCCCGTATGGTTCCAGCGTTAAGGGGCCGCAAGAATAGCCTGAACATGTGTTAAGGGGACTGTATCAGCCTGACAACAAAAAATAATAACACTAATACATTTTTACCATGGTGGTTAAGACCGCACAGCTATAAAACGGCCTATAAATAAATATAAATGTGTAATGCAAAATATTTTTACATTAGTTTTTTACTGAATAAAATTAATTATTTAAATTTAAAAGTGAAGTTTTCCAAAAACACAAACAGATTTTAAAAAGAAACATAAATGATATCATGTTAATTTTTCTTACAATACTGTTTTTACAAGCGTTATTATAAGAGTTAAAATTCATAAACAGTTTTGAAATATTTAGTTTGTTTCTTGAACACATTTTGGGAAATTGTAAGTTGTACGTTACACATATGTTCACACACACACAAACACACACACACAGACGCACACATGCACACACACGCAAGCACACATCTGCAGTTTTCGTCATGTCCATGGGCTTGATTGAATGTATTTTTGGGCTGGGGACTGAGGTAGGGGGCCACTGGGGGTCTAAGAAGCGTTAAGTCCGGGTGTACGTAGGCTTGTTGCCATGACCACCGTCTAAAAATAACCTGTCACGTAGGCATAGCTATTTTGGTGAAACGGTTTAAAATTAATTTATGCTCCTTTCTCTTTAACGAAACTTTTCAAACAATGGTTTTAAATGGCTATCCCATAAACTGCTTTAACACTAGTCAGCCTATGTGGGAGACCAACTCTTGCGACGTGTTAAATTGCTGATTGAAGGCTTCGTTAACAGCAGATCACCAGTCAAAGTTTATGGGCTCGTGTAAAAACTCGGCTGGTTGTAATGAAAGAGAGCTTTGGTTTGTATTGCTATCCTAACCCTGGACAGAGCCGTAGAACTAACCCTTGACCTAACCATAGACCTAACCGGTGACCTAACCATAAACCTAACCCTTTACCTAAACCTTGACCTAACCAATGACCTAACCCTTGACCTAACCATAGACTTAACCATAGACCTAACCCTTGACCTAACCATAGACCTAACCCTTAACCTAACCATAGACCTAACCCTTGACCTAACAATAGACCTAACCCTTGACCTAACCATAGACCTAACCCTTGACCTAACCATACATGTATCCCTTGACCTAACCATAGGTGTAACACTTGACCTAACTTGACACTATTGACAGTTGTAATTTTTCTAACACAAAACACGAGGTTTTAATAAGCTGCGCGTTGTTTTTGAATGGGTTTTAATTAATTATTTTTTTAAAAATTTAAACGTTATGCTTCAAATTTTTATTTGTTTCCGACTGAATAGAGTTTGTTGTTTTTTATTTTACGAGAGGTCGGGTATTAAATACGTGTTTTATTATTTTGATATCTAAAATAGTTTTAAAATAGCATACAATAATTTCTTTAATCGATTATTGTGTTCGGTCGATGTATTGTTAGATCATGTGACGCATGTTTGGGGTGGGGGGGGGGGGGGGGAATGGGCAGGTATTCAGTCTGAGTCACGTGGTTTCCTAATTTATGGCAAAGTGTTGTCTTTGTGCTTCTGTGTTGTGTGAATTTGTGTATGTGTGCATGTGTGTGTGTGTGAATGGTTTATGTATGTGTGTACGTGTGAATGAATATGTCTGTATATATGTATATGTATATATATATATATATATATATATATATATATATATATATATATATATATATATATATATATATATATATATGTGTGTGTGTATCAATTTGTGTGTATGTCTGTATGGATGTATGTGTGTATGTGTGTGTATGTGTAAGTAATGTGTGTGAATTTCTTCTGATCTACATGCTTATGTGACTCAACGCGAGACTGTGTATGCAGTTGGTTGGGCCTATTAGAAATTAGAAAAAAAAATAACCCTGGTGCCTTAAGTAGCCATACGTAACGTGAAGGGTCCCGAAGAGTTGCTTAAACTGACTTGATGTATTACTGATTCACAGGTTTAAGGCTCTCTGTTTATTTAAAGTTAATTTGTTCAGACACTGATAAGTGTAGGCTATACAATTATATATATATATATATATATATATATATATATATATATATATATATATATATATATATGTATATATATATATATATATATATATATATATATATATATGTATGTATATATATGTATATATATATATATGTATATATATATGTATGTATATTTATATATATATATATATATATATATATATATATATATATATATATATATATATATATATATATGGTTACATTTTCTATTTTCTATTTACTGTCTATATTTTATAACTTTGTCCGGTACGGGTAAAAGGAAGGGGGGGGGAGGAGGAGGAGGTTAACGTGATTCATGAGGCACTTCCTACAGCACCTCTACCCTGACGAGATGCCTGAAAGAAACTCTGTATATATATATATATAAATATATTTATATTTATATAAAACACCATCAGTTTTTTTTTGTTTTGTTTTGCTAAGATCCTTCCAACTCTCCAAAGGCACATGGCGTTTAAAAAAAAAAACAA